CAAACAGAGTGAGTGTTTGCCTGTGTGGGTTCTGCATAGCTGTCTCTCAACATAGAAATCAGGACTCACCACAGCCTCGAGTACAGAATAGCATGATTCAGAGAATATGATTATGACAATTATATCCTACTCTCAGTTCTTTAAACTATATTCAGTCAGTTTGCCTTGTCCCAATAGCTTAATTTCAGTCTCTCTCATTAATTTATTCAAACATACATTTATTATGTATAAGGCACCTTTTCCACATTAAGATTTTATTAGTATCTATTTTGTAGCTAAAACCCAGAGTTTTCAAATGTTTTAAATGTGGCCACTGTCTCCGTGTGACACTTCCTGGGAGTGGGTTTCACTTCCTTGTGATCTGCTTAATATTAATACAACTTCTGTATACAGTGATTTTCAAACTTTACCATTTTGGTTTCCCATGATTCTCTTTTTTATATTGCCTACCTTTTTGTTCTAATATGCATCATTTGAGTTCTGTTCAGCTCAGATCTTTATTTTCCTTCAAGGGTAAATTTGATTTACAGTAGACACAAAAAATATCACATTTGTTTATTTAAAGCATCAAACCATTGTAATGAAAGTCATTATAAGTACTGGCCAGTGCTGTCAAGGTGTCGGTGTACATTCAGTGTACATTAAGTGTATTTATTCTACTTGGAACAAAAGAAATATAAATAAATATGTGAGTAATTAGTCAAAACTCAAACTCAAACAAGTAATTTGACTTATATTAGAGTGGGGGGAGTGGCCAAAAGAAAATGTAATCTCACCCTCTCAAATAGAAGAACATGGGTCTTTTCTGATCTTTACTGTTTTGTTTGGTTCGTTTAACAGAGAAAACTTGCCCTGCGGGATGGAAGATGTTCAGTTGTACCTGTTATCTCTTCTCCACTAATTCTCAATCTTGGGAAAAAGGACGACAAGACTGCAGAGACAGAGGAGCAGATCTGGTGATCATAGACAGTTCTGAAGAACAGGTAGTGTGGAGTTTTTATCCATATAGATTGTAAAGCCCTCTGAGACAGTTTGTGACTTTGTCTAATATACTTCCCTTCCTACATGCTTTACAAGCTTTTTCCCAGATTTTCACAATAATAGAAATACCAAGAGCTTTAAAGGTCCAGTGTTTGACATTTAGGAGGATATATTGGCAGAAATGGAATATAATAATCATAGGTATGTTTTCATTGGTCTATAGTCACCTGAAAATAAGAATTGTTTAAAATGAGCAAGCTGATCTACAGACGCCATGGATTTGTTTTTGTGGAGGCTGCCAACAACCACCATGATTCTAGAAGCCCAGAACAGACAAACACTGGCTCTAGATAGGGATGTTTGCGTTTTTTTGCAGCCACTGTAGTTTCTCCCTTG